GTAAACTCTGATAAATCAGTATTGATGAGCTTTTGTACATAGCTATTAAAAATATTATACGGAGCAACCAATACGAGCTGGGCCAATAGAAAAGTGCGGCCGCAATTTTTCCACGGAATCCGCTATAAAAATTTGATATTTCCTAGCAGCTATTCTGCAAGATTGTTCTTAAAAAGTGACTCTGAGCCCCAACCTTTGGATTAAGACTAGTTTGGTGTGAAATTACAATGGTTTACTGCTTTTGGAATGAGGAATAAGACAGAGAAATGAGGAACTAATGCCTTTATGCGCGACTTAGTTGCTATCAAAGCAGTTCCGTTTATGACGGGCAACTAAAGTGACAGGTTGGGGCCAGAGAAAGAGAGGTGGGACATGCAAGTGCAGTGATTATTAAATTGTTGATATGCTGACACTCGTAATCTATAAAGGAAAGTAAATTCCAAAAGTTTTTTTTAATACTGTATCAGTATTTGGTAACTTAGTAACATATTATCATGCTACAAGAGGGTGATCTACTGGGAGACTGCATTCTGTGCATTCATAACATACTTACAGCATAATTTAATTGGTTTCTTTGGAATAAGGAATAAATTTGCATGATTTTTACTGAAACTTTTTGACAAATCCGGTCATCACTACTTCCTCTATTTAGTGTCATCATCAAGTGTGTTTGCCATCAAATACAGTAATGTTTTATGCAATGAATTAATAGTTGACCCTTGTCTTCAAATCCCTCCACTCCTCTGCACCCCCCTACCTCTCTCCTCAAAACAGTGCCTGTTGCCTTCGTACCACCGGGTCTGGTCTCCTCCTTGTTCCCCAAGTCCTCCGCTCCACCCTCGGCAGCTGTGCCTTCAGCCACTATGCCCCGAGGCTCTGGAACTCCCTTCCTCATTCCCTTCGCCTCGCTCCCTTTCTTCCTACTTTCAGGTCTCTGCTGAAGACTTTTTTTTTCGACTGCGTCTTTGGTCACCTTCCTCCCCCTCCCCCTGGCTCAGCCCCAGGATCCGTTACTGTGATGCGCTCTGAGACGCCGTCCGGCGTGGAGGGCGCTATATAAATCCAAGTTGTTGTTGTTGTTATAATAATAATCCTTGCATTTGATATAGCGCTTTTCATGTCTTCTAGACATCCCAAAGTGTTTCACAGAATAGACTGTAAAGTGAATTGACTGTATATTTCTGTGGGTGAAACAAGGCAGCCAATTGCGCACAGCAATGTCCCACAAACAATATTGTTGAACACAATATACAACATTAGAAGATTGAGACGTCTGATAAAGGTGTTTAAGAATATGAAAGGAAACAATGAGGTATATCTTCACTCCATGGCTGTTTGTGGGACATTGCTATGTGCAAACTGGCTAGCATGTTTTGCCCACAAAATACAGTCAATCCATTTTACACTATAGCCTGTGAAACACTTTGAGAGGTGTCGATGATGTGATAATGTGGAACTCACTGACAAAAATTGTGGTTCAAGCAAATAGCATCAATGTATTTAAGAGATAACTTGATGCATACATGAGAAATAAGGGAACAGACATGGAGTACAAACACCAGCACAAGGATATTTCGGCTGAATGGCCTGTTTCCATGCTATATTGCTCTATGTAACTCTATTCAACATGCATTTCTTCTGCTCTCAGCTATCTGTGCAATTTTCATTTCTGTTGCCAATATGTTTGTGCTTCAGTCTGACATTATAAACCAGTTACACTGGAATTTAAAGCAGACACACCTCAACAGCATCTTACTATGTACATACTTAACCATGACTACCACAGGGAGAGGCTACTTACAAGAACAGGAATTCTTAGTTACACCCTATTGATGTGACACGTTCAATGTTAGATTTCCCAAAGAAAGACATGTATGTCTTATCTCATCACAGAGTGTAGATGGGTCATTATTCTTTCATCTCGGTTGTGAGTTCAAGCCCCACTTCAGAACTTTGAACTCGCAGTCCAGGAACTCGCACTCCATTGTCAGAGATGCCATCCTATGGATGAGACATCAAACCAAGATCCCATCTGGTTGTTCAGGTGAACATTAAAGATCCCATAACACTACTTAAAAAGGGAAGCAAGTTCCTTCTGGCCAACAATTCCCAAGATAAAAATTGGTCATTCTCTTCATGGCTGTTCATGGGATATTGATGTGTGCAAATTAGAGCCATAGTGAGTGTCCAGGGTTCAGAGGCAGTGCAGGGCAATGAGGCTGATCTTGAGTGTTAGGTGACACAACAATTGCTGAATGTATTAGGCAAGTCCACATAAAGTGCAATGGTATTATACCACCATTAGAGGGACCCAGGTTAGGCATCACACTGCATGAAACGTAACCATGACTAAGAGTGCCTCAGATTAGCTTCAATTTAATGGTGCAATGTACTGAATAATGCAATGAGTCAATGCCCACTCACCCTGTTCTGTAATGAGGGACAGCAGAGCTGTGCATGCACGTAAATTGTGTACAGCTACTGGAGTGCCTGTGAAACAAAGTTAGCTGGCTATCCTGTCTGTTTTTGCTTTAATTAAAAAGAAGCATTGAAGCAGTCCACTGATTCCCTTTCAACATCAAAGAGTAGCGTTTCACATTTCGGCTTAGTATTGGTTTCGGCCGTATGATGGAAAGCTGACTTGGCAATGGGTACCAGTGTGTTCTCTCGAAGTGGTCTCACGTTGTGAGAAAATACATCGAATTCAGTGAAATTATGCAACACTTTTATTACTGATGAACCACACAAAAACAACTTTGCAGGCTGTTCAATGTAATCCCCCATATTAAGTTGCTGCTTGATTGGTGGCAGTGAGACTGAAAATAATAATAATAATAATTCTTGCATTTGATCTACAACAACAACTTGCATTTATATAGCACCCTTCAAGCAGGGTAGTGACCCGAAACACTCAACAGTCTGACCCACCACATGGAGCGCCTTATCACATCGTTGAGAGATCTCAAAGTTAAAATATTTTCCTGAGACCTTGCATAAAGCACTTCAACCGAAACCATGGAAACTCACAGCAAGAAGATATGAAAAGACCTCCCTGGATTATAGATTCTGGTTTCAAAATTTACCTGGAGTGAAGCTTCAGTTGAATCCTCGAGAGTAAAACTACTGTTAGTCATTCCTAAAGCGACCACCAAGATGATGAGAAAAGTATGACTCCAACTTTAGACAGAAATAGCGTCATAAATCATTGCACTATTTGATTTCCAGGAATATAGTATGCACACCCAATCCTAAAAGACTATTACCTGGTATTCTACTTGACAAGAGGATTGTGATCTCTGAAGAGCCTCATACCTCGCACTTTTGTTGACATTCATTTATGCAAATTTGATGCATAGTTTCTTTGGCAGTGACTACCTATAACTTCTTATCATTTTTTTAAGTTGCATTTCTCTCTCCTCCCCCCNACTCCCACTTCAACTCATTCAACTCACAACTGACAGGGCAATGGAATCTATGAGTCCAATCGGTTCTACAGTGCAAGAAAAAATACTAAATTCAGTGAAATTAAGCAACAGTTTTACTACAAATGCACCACAAGCAGCTCCGCTCGGCGCAAGTTCATATCTTTAGGTGCGGAGAATATGAGAGAGGGAAAACTTGGCCAAAAGGTTGAAATATCATGACTTGCCTCTTTGTGCTTTTAGATCATTTGGCCACCCCCCTCAGCTTCCACTCCCAGCTCAGGTACCCAGCATTGCTTTGAGGCATCCGCCCAATACAAAAGGTGCTATATAAATTTATATTTTAGATTATTGGACGGCAAAAAACAAATAGGAATTTTAAACCTTCCCCCTCCCCCAACGTAAACAGAGTTGAATTATGTCTCTCCCACTGCCTAATAAAGAATGAATTTCCCTTTCAGTTTTGTAGCACAAATTAGTGCAGAATCAGCTGTTAAAATTGCTCCCCCCCACCCCACCTCACCTCCATCCTCTTCCCCAACTATTTAAAAAAAATATTACAGTGTTCTAAAAGTTAACTCTGTACATTTTTTAAAAATATTTTTTTAAACTGCAACAGGGAACGAACATGGCAACAAGTTGTGAATCCCTGTTTTGGGTTGTTTGAAGTCCTGTAGTCTGGAGTCCTGTAGCTCAGTGGTTAAAGCATTCGCTTTACAAGCGAGAGACCTGAGTTCAATTCCCGGCAGGTCAGGGCGAAACCTTGGGCAAGTTTCCTTACTCCACACAGAGCCTAATAATAATCCCTCCAAAACCAAAACCAATAATAAATTGGTCATTTTCAATCTACGACTGTTTGTGGGACATTGCTGTGCGCAATTGGCTGCCGCGTTCGCCCACAAATATACAGTCAATTCACGTTACAGTGTGTTCTGTGAAAAACGCTATATCAAATGCAAGGATTATTATTATTATTATTATTATTAAGTGTTTGAAATGAGACGCACCAGATTTAATTTTGCAACTGCAGGTGAATCAGTCACTCCTCCCAGTGAGACCAGGATATTACTGACTGCTTCTGCTCATCCTGTCTAAAAAAAAAGGATTGACGTCAATAAATCTCTCTCTCTCACACACACACACACACACACACACCAGAAACTCACTTGGGGGAAGTTTTAAAAGGCTCATCCCTAAGTTTCACTCCACTCAACTGTGCAAAGTTACCTGTGTACCTGTTGGGGGAGAACACACACACACACATACACACACCTGCACACACAGCCCTACACACAGCACAGCACAGCACAGCAAACACCTTCCAGCTTTGATCACCTTTGGCTTTGAGCGAAAGGTGCATTTTAAAGGAGGTGTCGGGTGGAAGAAGAAGAAGAAGAAGAAGAAGAAGAAGAAAAAAAGAAAAAAAGGCTATTTTTTTTGGTTTGCTTTTCATTGGGTTGTGGTTTTGCTTCTGTGTTCTTGAATCCGATCAGATTTCTTCTGATATAGATACACACACACACACACTTAGGGTTAATATATATATATATATATATGTGTGTGGTTTTTTTTTGGTGGTGGGTGGGGGGTTAAGTGAAGAGAGATGGAGAGAGGACAAGCCACAGCTCGGCCGGATTTGAGAAGGCTCTTCTCGGCTTGTGATGTGAACCGGTCGGGGCTGATCGAGTTGGAGGACTTCACCAGTCTGTGTCGGGACCTGAACGTCGGTCAGTCCCAGATCCACCCACTGTTCCAGAGGTTGGACGTGGACCGCGACGGCTCCATCAACTTCAGCGACTTCGCCGCCGGCTTCGAGGAGTTCTCGGAGATCTACGACCTCTCCTCTCTGGCAGCCGCGGAGGGTTCGCAGTTTGCGCCGCCGTTCGCTTGCGATGAGTTGGAGGAGCGGTTCGGGAAGGAGGTGCGGTACCTGCGCAGGTACTCTGACTGCCGCCGGGCTTTCATTTCGGATTAACCTCGTTTCTCAGTCGGTTTTCTTTAGGTTACTGTTAAAGCAGAGGTCAGATGACAGTCCACCCCCCCCCCCCCCAACCCCCTAACCCCCCCCCCACCCCGGGGGCAATGGTTCAGAACATGTAAGAGGAAGGGAAGAGCATCTCTGGGGTGTGTGTGTTTGTGTGTATAGATATATATATATGTATATATAAAGCAGTTACAAGTATAATAATAATCCTTGCGTTTGATTTATAGCACCTTATCACTTCTTCGAAACCTCTCGCACCGCTTCAAGGAATGTACTGTAAAGTGAATTTTGTGGGAGCGAAACATATTCTGTGAGGCGGCTCGATGACGTGATGTGGCGCTCTGTCAAATGCAAGGATTATTAGAAGTGCGGCGCGCTTTTTGCAGTGAGAGTCGAGAGCAGCCGATGCCTCGAGACGTCCTCCCGATGTGAACGGCACTGTGCAAATGTGATTTGTTGACGTCGTTGACACCCGGGCAAGACTTCACTGGTCGACATTCTGCGTAAAACTCTTGTTCTTTTGAAGCAAATTCCATACTGGATTTTTCTTCTTTTATTTTGGCAGCACACGTGATCCAAATGTTTTGCAATCTGCCCTGTGCATGTGTAGCAGTGACAACTGGCAATTTCTAAATCAAGTTAAAAGCGTCACAAACGAAACTGAAGGGAATTAGTTCAGCAGAAACTCTGGAGAGTGAGGATTAGCTTGCATGGTTGAGGAAATTCAAATAGTGAAGTTGTTATGGCTTATTCTCATACAAATGACAGAGTCATACATACCTGGGTTGGGTACTAAGGCAAAAATGACAGGACCTAGGTTATTAGGCTACTGTACACGTGTAACTTGTTTTCTCCGCCTGGGCAGTTCAAAGCAGGTCAACCCATGATGTAATCAATCATAATAATAATCCTTGCATTGATATAACTCTTTATTACATCCTCATCTCAAAGCACTTCACAGAATATAATGTAAAGTGAATTGACTGTATATTTTGTGGACAAAAATCATACATCTTTACTCAGTTAAAAATTAGTCGAGTTTGCTTATTGTTATACTCTATGGGGCCGGATAAAATTATAACATTTTACATACTTCAACAATTAGAGAACTTCCTTTATTACCATTTGTAAACACTTCCACACTGTTCCGAAGGCCTTTACAATTTCAAGGAAAAGTGCCTTGGGCTATCCTCCCGACGTGAAAGGCACTATACAATGTAATGTGTTGTTGTTCGGTAACAGCCTCTTCTCAAAGACCATCTGCCTTCCATTAACCTGCCCCGCTCTCCCATTTGACCATCTGTCTGTCTCTTCGTTCTAGATTTCAGGTGCCACAGCGACAGCTATAACACGACACAAACTTATGCAGTTTGAAGTTTCTGACAAGATCCGGTCTCACAATGTTGAGAGCTCTGATTTCAAGTCAGATACACGTGTTGTAAAGTGGAGATAATGATGAAGCAAAGCCTGCTGAACCAAGAATCCTGTATACAATTCTGGGTCTCTGTTATATAAAGGGCATTGCCCAGGATGTGGAGGAAATAAGTGAGTAGAGTAAGAAACCTGATTCCCAGAATAAGGGGTGAGCAATGACAACATGAAAAAGGCATACGCAATCTCCAAAAAAACATATCAAAAATAATCAAAGAATCATAGCATATTACAGCCAGAAGGAAGCCATTCAGCCCATTCTGCCTTTGCCAGCTCTTTGGAAGAGCTATCTATTCAGTCCCACTCCCTCGCTTTCTAATCGCTCTTGAATTTTTCATGGCTCGTATCAGATATCTCAATCAGTGTATGGTATTGCTATGTTCTACCACCAGCTTTTACTTAATTTTTTATATAACCTCTTATCCCGCATGCTCTGAGCTCACTATTGATTGGGTTGACAGAACCTCAGACTCATTTCCTTTAGAGAGCTGAAGCCAAAAGTGCATAACATAACCTGTTTGTAAGGAAAAAAATTATCGAGTAAGTGAACTTGAAATGTAATTTGAAATGCTTTGGGCATTTTGAGTTACTCTCTTACTGACTCCTAAATCCTGTCTCTTTTTGATTGTCACTAACATTGACACCTTGAAATGTTATAGCTTCAGTTTCTTGCTCTGAACAAGTCTGATGACTTGGTGAGATTTAAAGATGAAGTATTTATTGTCCATTGACAAATGACTCAAATTCCTGTATTTCCCCCTGGGGCATTCTTGCTATTACTTTCCATAATGAAATCTAACATACAATGGAACCAAATTTTTATCAAAAATGTAGGTGTGTGTTAAATGGCAGTGATGTGTAAGGGAGTTGTCACATGACAAATTGTGAATGTTTTGGCACTATTCTCAGTACTCTTGCTCCTCACCGAAGTAACAAAAGACAGAATAAAGGCCAATTTAGTGTTTCTAAGGCTTCATTAAATGCAAAAAAATTGCTATCTCTGCAATGTGGAGTCCTGTAGCTCAGTGGTTAGAGCACTCGCTTTGCAAGTGAGAGACCCAAGTTCAATTCTAGGCAGGGCGAAACCTTGGGCAAGTTTCCTTACTCCACACAGAACCTAATAATAATCCCTCCAGAAACCAAAAACAATAATAAATTGGTCATTTTCAATCCACGACTGTTTGTGGGACATTGCTGTGCGCAGTTGGCTGCCGCGTTCGCCCACAAATGTACAGTCAATTCACTTTACAGTGTGTTCTGTGAAGCACTTTGGGACGTCCTCCCGCCGTGAAAAGCGCTATATCAAATGCAAGGATTATTATTATCTTACTAACCCATATGCACTTAGATCAAGGGTGATATTGTTATTCTATCTTTTTGTACCAAGGGCACCCTTTTGTACTAAGCCAGCGCCCTTTCCGTGGGGTAGAGTCCCAGAATGCTTGACAGTGGCAGAGTCTGATACTGAGCCAGGAGGAGAGGTGGGGGGGGGAGACCCTAAGCACAATCAAAAAGGAAGTTCTTTAGGCAGGATTTTAAAGTGGGGAGGGAGTGGTCAAGGCAGAGGGAGTTCCAGAGCATAGTGGCTGAAGGCACGGCTAGTCACGGTGGAGCAGATTGATCAAAGGAACAGAATACAGAAATGTACTGCTGTACCAATTGTTGTATTTGTGTTTCACTCGGTAACTTGTATTTTGTCTTATTCCAAGTCAAAATCAAGTGTGTTATTTTGCATTATTTTCACTTAAACGAGTACTAACAGGAAATTGTGGATGTCAATTTCCTAAGATAGGTGTGGTTACATGAGACTTTCATCACAGTACCTTCAATTGAAATGTAAATACTGCAATCCAGTTTGTTTTCTTATCCCTAACAAAAGAACTCCACATAATTGTTACTACATGCACAAGAACTATTTAAAAATGCTTGATGTAATTTATCATTGCTATACAACAAATAAATACCCCTATGAGTAAACTATCTTTCGCAATACCATTGCTTCGGTCATAAAACAATTGCGCAAGATAAAAAGCACCAGATATTCAGTAATACATTGACTATGTTATTCAACGAATGTTTTGATCATACGGATTTGAGCAGAATGCAGTGGGATCCAATAACATTTAAAATGGGTATCATCAGATGCATCAAAAATATCCCACATTTTTTTCCCCCTGATTTTCACATGCAAATTAACTGAGTGTTGGAATTCACCTGAGTGCAAATGGTTTCATGCACATCCCCAATGATGTCATTATCTAGATACTCTTCCAAAATTTATTTCAACAAAAGACTAGCGCGTTTCTTTTGCTGAGGCTTTAGCTTCAATCAATCTACAAAAACATGTGAACCTCCTTGTGTTATTGTAACTGATTGAATTAGTTTCAGTTCAGCCTTAGTTTCACCCACAAAATATACAGTTAATTCACTTTATACTATATTCAGTAAAAAAGCACTTTGAGACATCTTAGAGTCATGATAAGGTGCTATATCAAATGCAACAATTATTATTATTAGTGCAATAAATTTGACACAACAACAAAAGCTTAAATTTGTGCAGAACTTTTCATTTCAGGAGGACATCCCAAGATGCCCAAGACACAAAATGAGCAAAGGAAACGAAATGAATTACTGAACACCAACACAATTAAAGTGCTGAGAGTGGATACTTAGCATTAACCTCAAATTAAATAACATCTAAATTAATACAGATCAAATTCATTTTCTAAAGGGAAAAAGTATGAACCATTCAGTAATAAACTTATATAACATCCCACATACAATCATTTTTAAAAAGCTTTAGCATCCCATAGTCAATCTCCCCAGAAAGAGATGATGACCTAAACATCTTAACTAGTTATATGGATTTTTAAAAAAAAATTATAGTACATTTGATATATTGTCACCCCTCACCGCTCCCTTCCAATCTTCTCACCTTGTGTGCTGAAGGAACTGCCTGCCATTCGTGAAATGACCATTCAGCCTGTGTGAGCCTGGACACCGGTATAACATTGGCTCCTACAAAGGACCCAATTGTGTCTGATTAGGTGCAGCTGAGGGTAAAGCTCTGTGGTTGGGAATAGAGAGCTTAAAGCCAGGACTGTGAGTGCACAAACGAGATGCTGGTCCTAACTACTTGACCTGTCCTAAATGAGCAATGCTATATCAGAGAGAAAGAGAGAAAAGCCAATTGGAACAGGTGTTAGCTCTGATACTAAAGCAAATCCATTTGAATGCAATTGTTGATCACTCACTGCAGCCACAAAAATCTAGAAGACTTAGGCATTTTTTTAATATTATTTTTTTGTTTAAAAAAAAGCTGAATTTAGGAGAGATGATTTTTACCAAATGGAGCCCAGCCAGACATTGAGTTAGGAAATTAAATCGTTGGATTTGGACACAGAGAACATAATAGCACCAGCAGAAGAGAGTTCCTCGTCCATTTGTACTGTTGTGCCTTTGCAAAAGTGTCCCTGCCATTCGGGGGAAGCTCGGGTTAGTCGTTGTAAAGGCGAATACGAGAATTATTATAAAGAGTTGGTTCAATCCAGGAACTCATCTGCTCGATTGCAACATGTAAAAACCAGCCTCTGGCTCTTGGGATTGGTGGAGTAAGGTATTAGTTATTCATTGAGGCAGAGCCTCTGTCAGTCTGGTCTCAGGGAGTGAGTATAAGAACCTGGTGTACGTCTCACTTTGTAAAACTCTCCAGGTTAGAGATGAGTAATTCTGGAACTTTATTCTAATATATAAGAGGTGGGTTTTAAATGTGGATCTCATATATAAATCCAGAACATTATGGTCAATCAACCCACTTTGCCAAACTTGGTCTTTTAAATGATGTAGCTGAAATGTGCCAAGTTAATCAACCAGTGAGCTTCTGAAATGGTTAGAAACTGGAAATAAGGGTATTTGGAGTTCATTGTTAAAGGGAATAGCTTAGCTTGAACTTTTTTTGTCTTTTTTTTTAAAAACAGCCGGGAGAAGCTAGCTGATTTCTACCAACAAATTCGTCTGCATACTGATCGTGGTATGGTTCAAGAGTGTGATCAATTGGTCATCGCTTTGATAAAAGACAATAAGATCCAGATCACAGAGTCGGAGAAGTTGGAATTGATGCTGAAAAGGTGAGTGGTGGATCATCTTTCCATGTGGTCTTAATAATCCTTGCATTTGGTATATTATCAAAGCGTTGAAACATCTTGAGCGCTTTGCAGAATTTTACTTTGAAGTGTAGTAACTATTTGTAGGCAAACTTAACAGCAAATTTGTGCACAGCAATGTTTGGTATCTTTCTCAAAAAGCTTATACATTTAATTTATTAGAGATTGAGTATACTGCCTAAGAAAACAGTTCTGAATATAGTGTTGCACTGTTTTCTTCACATTGTTGTTTTTGATACTTTTTTGAGAGGCAGAAACCAATTTGGTCATTATTGCATCAAGACAATTTAGTGGGTGTGTGTTGTGGTTGATGCATGTTTTGACACTGTCAACATTGAACATCATATTTGTCTTCAAAGGCTTCTTGTTGTTGTCCTGTTTAATTGCCCCAGTTGGATTACTTCACAAATAGCAGGGGGGAGGAGGCTTTTATAGTAGGGTTTGTAGTAGTCCTTGTCTGTAATAAATTATTGCTGAACGCAATAGTTCTTTCACCCCTGTCTCTGCTAATGATTCTGTATTGCTCAAATCAACCCGAAGCTTCTAGCAGTCAGTAACTCTTGGGTAAATTTAAAATGTAATATTGGTTTTCAGTCTGGTAACTATGCTGTAACAGCGCTTAAAAGTTATTTGTATGTAGTTCGGCTGTAAGAAAATTGCAGCCCAGAAACTGCAACTTTTCCTTTGGATGAGATGTTAAACCGAGGTCCTGTCTGCCTGTTTAGGTGGACGTGAAAGACAAGGGAGTTTCTCCTGGTGTCCTGGCCAACAATCCTTCAAATAAAAATTAGTCACTCACTTCTCGGTTGTTTGTGGGACATTGCTGTTCACAAAACTGGCTAATGCATTTTGTGCACAAAATATACAGTCAATCCATTTTACAGTATGTCCTGTGAAGAGCTTTGAGATATCTCGATGAAGCAATAAGTTGCAATACGAAATGTATTTATTTTAATTCATGAATATGTGCTCCCATTGAACCATCAACCCATTCAGTGCTCTCAATTGGACCATCGTGGTGGATAGCTCAATGTAGTCATTAAGAGATGTGGATTCCGAGCTGGAATTTTCTTACTCATTGTCAAAATGTTCTCTTATATAAAAATGCATTACGTTAAAACAGTAAAGTTCTAAGCTTATTTTATCTTCGCTTGTACTTCACCCTGGATCTCCTAGATCATTTTGTACATCAGAAAGATGGCATCCACTTTGGCTTTTAGTTGAAAACCGGCTCTATAGGTTATAAAACACTGAAGATTCATATGGTTGTTTTGTGGATATACCAGGTCCTTCCTTTATGATGTTTATAAATCAAACATTGCTGCTTCCTGAATAAGTTACATTAATTGTGGCATTAGTGTAGCCTGATCATGCCAAGATGGTTAGTAGTACTTTGTAATAACTAAACATCTAACTAAGCACATGATTGAAAGCTACATACAGTATAGCTTGAGATAATCAAATCCACTTGGAGGATTGTTTCTAATCCTGCTGGGGACCATTGGGGTATGACCTGTGCAATCAAATAACATAGCAGTATCTCTCAGGATATTGGTCAGAGTGAAATGTTAAGAGTTTGGTCTTTTAGAAGGCAACAATGAGGAATAATTAGTTGCACATTTTATCTAGTCTTTTGGAGGGAGCTAATTAGATCAATGGCTTTTATCAATGACACTCCCTAACTTCTATTTTATTGAGTCCTTGAGGGTTAAATCAAAATGCATTCCATTGTGACATTTCAAGACAGAGTAACTTGCAATGGCTTGAGAAGGATAAAACGTAATAAATGGTCGTTTTTGTCACAACGGTTTGTGGTGAAATTATATGGAAATTCCTTGAAGCAGAAGGAGCCTCTAGAGATACAACAACAAGATTACATTTGTATAGTGCCTTTCACGTCGGGAGGACATTCCAAGGCACTAAACAGTGTACAGCATTTCAGACCCGAGCTGAGGTCAGGGAGGAGAAGGGAGGGATGGGGGTGACCAATGGCATGGTTGAAGAGGAGGGTTTTGAGGTGGGACTTGAAGGAGGCTAAGGAGGGGGTAAGGCAGAGTGATTGGGAGATAGAATTCCAGAGGTTGGGGGCAGAGTAGCTGAAGGCTCTCCTGCCAATAGTAGGGTGGGTGGGTTGGGGAACATGGAGCAGGCCGGAGTCGACTGAGCGGAGAGAGCGGATGGGTTGGTAGGGGGTTAGGTGGTCGCAGAGATAGGATGGGGCGAAGCTGTGGAGGGCTTTGTATGTGAGGACCAGGATCTTGAACTGGATCCTCTGAAGGATAGGGAGCCAATGGAGTCGGGCGAGAATGGGAGAGATGAGGTCACAGAACTTGGTGCGGGAGAGGTCACGGGCTGCAGAGTTCTGGATTATCTGCAACCTGTGGAGGGAGGAGTTGGGAAGGCCGACAAGCAGGGCATTTGCATAGTTGAGCCTGGAGGTAATGAAGGCATGAACAAATGTTTCCTGAGGGGTGAGGTAGTGGGGGAGTCGTGCGATGTTACAGAGGTGAGGGAAGGTAGAGCAGGCCGTGGCTTGGATGTGGGAAAGAAGACAGTTGAGGGTCGAACAAGACGCGCTAGGTTCCTGACTGGCTTGGTGAGTTGAAGTGTGCCACCATGGTGGTTGATGCTGCCAGAGTCTGATAATACACAATGCCTGAGTGTTCCACAATTTCCCTTGTAAATGTCAGCGGATGAGCATAGTTTCATGTAGCAAACCATCATAGTTGCCAAAATTGAGTTATTAGAATAAACTGGAATGGTTAATTGCGCACACCTGGCCACTTCATGCTGGGATTGTCCTATAAATGTACAAAATCCATCACAGTACAGACTAATGCAAAACAATTGTGATTTATTTTTGGAGTATCTTATCTTGAACTCGGGACTTGAAAGAAATTGTGTGTTCAGCTCAACAGCCAATTATTCTGCTGGTGAATCTGAGCAATAATTGATTAACTTAATGACAAAAAATGACTCATCTTTACAGAGCATTTATTTAAAGCCTCAAGAATGGAACTGCAAGAATTCACAGACTTGTTATTGTGCTTTCTTCTACAGCAGTGGTGCAGAGAAGTGAGCTTGCTATTAAATTCAAGCGTTGGCCTCCAATGGTATCTTATGAGAGTTTCTGTGCAATCCTGTCATTCTCTTGATCTTTTAACCCTTGGGTAGCTACTGCAATCATGCTACACCATGGGAGGAATATCACTAGCTCTCTGATAAGATTGATAGCCTTAAGCGTGGTCTGGCCACCCTGAAACTTTTCATAGTTTTTAAAGCCTAATTTGGCTTGTATTTGGCAATGACATCAGAGTTGTCTGGCAGCCATTCATGGTGACGATTATGAGAGTCGGTCTTAAAACTGAATGAACACCATTCAGTGCTGCACATAGTAATGCTAATAGTGTAATATAACTATTTAAAATCCTATTTTCCTTGCAGTTTGAATGGCACCTTTGAGCTTCCAGTGTAAAACTATTGACTTCTGATATTGTTGTAGAACGGTGGAAAAGGCCACGGCACAGTTGGTTGAAATGGATGAAGACATGCAATATCAGGCAACCAGACTGGAGGAGAAAATCCGAGCAGAGGTGCGAGTCTAGTAATCCCAGACTTTTGGAATCCTTGTAAATGTATGCATTGTACTAGCTCCCCAAAAAGGCAGTTGGGATTTGTAAATGTGATTACTAAGCAATGATTAATCATTTACTGTTCCTGCATTCTTTTGAAATCTGGAACTAAACTATGCAGGAATGTTATCAGTTTCTGTGTCCTTATGGATGCAGTTTTCCTTTTATAAGCATTGGGATTTAGGGGAACTGATGCAACAAAATATGCTGCAAGTTTACAGGGTGTTATGTTGAAGGTGTTCAATCTCTTAACATTTCTAAACTGAGTTTTGAACCTCGACAGTGAGTGTTATTTCACTCTCAGCTTATGACTTTACCAATGGAGGCATTGCAGGAGTTTGATTCATTTAGGGGTAGACGTAATGCAATCAGAGGCTGAGGTTAAAGTATAACTACTGAACATTTCTGAGGATTTTTGTATTTCATCTGTTATTGAGCAAAAGGACAATTTCTCTTTGTAGGAACATTATATTTGGAGAAGTAAGGTGCAGTGAGATGTATTCTTCAATGAAGTGTGTGAGAGAATATAAGTTGAGGGGTATATTTGCGCACTTGTCAGCAGTGGTTCAGTGTGCTGAGAAACTGTTGCGTCCTTTAGAAATGAGGATTTGCTCCTTCGCCATTTGACAAATCATTACTTGCTACTCGGGTTTGGACTGTTTCAGGAGCAGTCAAAACTGGAGGCAAAAGTGGTAGAGGTGCAGAAACAACATGAAGCTGAAGTGACTGATCTGCAGGCCGTCATTGACCGGATGAAAAAGGTATCTTTTTGGAATGGGTTTCTGATACGTTTGTAGTTTAGACAGAATATTGTTACAAACAGCAAAAATAAATTGAAAGGTGTAATGTATACCTGATAAAATACTAACCTGGGGTGAATCCCTTGTGCAGTTTTAATAGCCGAAAAAGAAACCTGATTGACTGGGTATGTTTCTTTTTTCAAGGAAAAAAACGAAACTGCGAGTTTAAGTTATTCTTCCCTGACTACTTGTAATTTTTTTTTGCTTATGATTTAATTTTGTACTCATTAACAGAACTTGTTTCCTATATTAAATGTAAATACTCAATCCAATAATAAATTAATTGTTCGAGATGTAATATTTAGAGCTAGCTCTGAAATGAGCTAGCCCTGTAACCTGTCTCAGAGCATTGGCGACTTTCCACAGCTAGTCTCTTCTGTTTCTCCAGTTTGAAGACGAGTTCTGGCAATCGAATTCCAGAGGTGACATTACTGTACTGAAGCAACAACTGGATGAATTGAATCAGGTGCGTATCTTTGCCTCAAGGTATCCGCGACTAATAAATGAATGGAATCTTTAAGGATTACCAAGGCCTCTTACAATTCTGTAACTACCCCTTCAGTTGTTAGTATTGGTGCCTGGTCTCTCGCAGGTCCATTGCGTTGCACTCACTCTGCCCACAGTGACGTCAGGAAAAACTGCGCAACAAAAAGCCCCGAGCTAGAAACGTCATTGTTTAGCGGGTTTATATTAGAGAGCGCTGTTTATAGCGGATTCTGAAAACTTTTCTATTAGCCCAGGTGATAAGTGATAAAATGCAATTTAGTGCTGGTATTTTTTAGCTTATTTTTTCCACTTGTCTTTCTTTATGTAACTGAGTGTTTGCTTCTTGCAGGAAAATTCGCATTTAAGAAGCTCCCTTCTTGAGAACCGAACCAATTACTCCATCCTTCAAGTTGAATTGGACAAAGTTAAAAATGATCTTGCAGCTCACCACCTTGATGAGCAACGGTAAATGAGCATTCGTCATTGTAACAAATCGATCGAGTACCGTTTATAATTGAACTGAACAAGATCATAGGGAAAAATACAGTACATTGGATTGATGTAATTGCTCTGCGTAGTGCAGTACAGTATGGAAACGGGTCATTTGGCTCAACTCACTTGTACTAGTGCATCAACTGTATTTAAACCAACAACTAATAATAATAATAATCCTTGCCTTTAATATCACGTCTTTGAGATGTCTCAAAGTGCTTCACAGAATATACTGTAAAGTGAATTGACTGTATAATAGAGATGATCAGCAAGGAAACCCATCCCCTTAAGCCTCAGTTGCTGTTGTCTCACGAGCTAGTACACCTTCCTTGAGACCCTTGTTGCCCTGCCCTGGCATTTTAGACCTGAAGTGAACCTCATTTCATCAACTTTGGCGGGTGGGGTGTGGGGAAAGGAAGATCTCGGTATACCACAGAACGTTTTGGTCTGGTGTTCAGTCTGTCCTTCATATATACATTTCAAGCTTTTATGTAACTCTAAAAATATTGAATGGAAACCTGATTGAAAATGCGCACAATTGTAAGGCATTGTATTTAAATAAGCTTCCTAAAAAATTTAGAGAAGTTTAGTTTATTTAGTACTTTTCCATATGCATTTTATCGTATAATGTGTTAAACGTTTGTAGAGAAAATCTAAGTTCATTCTAATTTGCACCATATTACCAGGTTCAACTATTGCAATGTAAAGGCTGATACTGAGTAAAGTTAACTTTAGTTATATTTTTCTCCTTAAAACAGAACAAAGGAAGTGATGGAGAAACTAACTGAAGAGAACCAGGCATTTTCAAGTCAATTACAGATGCTTCAGTAGGTGCATTTTATATTATATATGAATCAAATTAATTTGCCAGAATTCACCCTAAGGTTATGAGCTACCACTTTTAAGATTACATTTTATATATTTATGTATGCATCCACTGGCCTTATCCTACTACCAGTTGTTGCCAGCATAAAGATACAACTATTTATATAGTGCCCTTCACGCGAGGTAGCATAATGGAGCTCAACAAATCTTATTAGATTTTTTTCAAATCTTATACCTCACTCTGGAGGTGCTGACACAAAACTAGTTCATTAAATATTGTTGGGGGTGAGCCGATAAGCTTCAAGACCTTGACTTTGCATATGGAAAAAAAATCCTGGTGTAATCTCAACACTTCCTAAAATTTAATCTTTACACAGCAACAAAATTACATTTGTAAAGCGCCTTTCACATTGGGAGGACATCCTGACGTGAAAGGCTCTTTACAAATGTGATTTTGTTGTCGTTAGACATTTTTTGCTCATGTGCTGTTAAATAACCTTGCTTTTGTTATCTTCCTGATTTGCTTCCCTTTAGAGAAGCCAATTCAATTCTTTACGATAGCAATGATGGGTTGAGAACTGCGTTGGAGTCTAATCCTGGTCTAAAGAAAAAGAAGGTTGGTACAATTGGATGTCTTTGGGTAGGGGAGACCTTATTAAAGTAATTTACTTCTAAAGATCCTTTTTTAGTTTCTGAATCTGGTTGGTAGTTTGTGTAAATGGCAATTTTAAAACTTTCTAAGCAAGTTCTGTATTTTGTTTTAATACCAGTTGACGACAAAATCAGGTAATCAATTGGAACATTCGTAAAACTATTAATCCTGAAGTAGTGTATTGCAGCTGTCTCATTTATTTGAGGGTGCAGGAAGACATACAGACACAACCCCCAAAGAATAGGAATAAAGAGTAAAAACCTGTGTGAGGCACCTCCTGGTGGACTGTGATATACAAGACAGCGGGTTGCTGACCCATCTTATCTACTTTTTCTCTTTACTGTTCATTTTGGTCTCAGCACAACACAATCACTTCTGGAGAGACCAAAATATTAGGAGAAAAGCAAAATGTAAAAAAAAATAAAAAAAAATTGCAGTGATAATTTCTGGAACATGTTTGAACATCTTGAAACATTGGGTTCTATTGAAGGATTTTTACTTTTTTCTCCTGCAGCATTCCCCAGATGAACCCTTGGTGACAAGGGTGAAGTTGCAACAGGAAAATGGAACGCCAGTCATCAGCTACAGCAGGTATTCCAGTGTGAGCTGTCAGTTCAAGCCTTGTCCAAAATAAGATTTCAGCACTTCAGCCTCTGATCTTGCTTTTAGCACTTTTTTCTGGAGCACTGGGGTATGAGGTATAACTGGAGCCGAGGAATACAAGATGTTGTTCATTCTGAGTGCGTTGAAATGTTGGTGTTTGGATTATGAACTTATACACACAAGCAACCAACCTCCAGTTCAGGTTGGTTACGTATAGGATATGTCCCTCTGCTCTGCCCCCAAAATATGCTTCATCTGTAACTCTTCCATTTCCCCTACAAGTCGACCTTGGTATCTACGGTTTTGTGCTAATATGGGAAGATTTGAGTCATGCCCTTGTAACCAGTCGGAATTTGTAAGCAAAGTGATCTTGTGCAGCTTTGAGGACTTTTCCATTCCTTCGGTCTGAATTAAATTTTAATTCAAGATCAGGAAGTCTGAGGACAGCACATGTATGGCATGAACTGTACTGCTCATCTCAAGTGTCCTTGCTTTTTAGCTACAATGGTGATCAAGAGTCTATGGAGGATGATGAGGAAAAATACAAATTGAGAGACAGAATTTCTGACGTGGAAATCTGGGCCAATTGTCTGGACAGACATGGGTCAAAGTTGGATTCGTATTCAGATGCTGATTATGACAGTGACTGCAGTGATGGGTCTCAGCAGACAATGCAATACAGCTATTCGTGTGTACTATCAGACAGTGAGGTGAGAAATTGCTTAAAAACAACTGACTTTTGCTTAAGTGGAGAATAATGGAAATCAATTTCATTTTAGTAATCGCATCAAGGGCTCATTCGATGATCGCAGGGTATTTGTTTTGCTGGTGAAGTGTGGAGATGAGCAAAATCAGTACGTTTCTTGAAAATGATGAGTTATTTCAAACTAGTTAGCTTACTAGTTAGTTACAAAAATGGCTTTTGTAAGGCAATGCCTCATTTTTCAAAGGGATTTCATCCTTTCAGCACCCTCTACCAATTTTGATTTGAGTTCATTGTGAAATGAGCTAACGTGTGAGACAGTAGAGGAACTGCATTGATGTGGATCACAGAAAAAAGCCATTTTTTTAAAATTGGTCCAGTGCAAGTGTAGACCCTTTGAAAGATTTTGTGGCCTTTTGCATTTGTGGCAAGAGCAGCACAAATGCCTTAACAGAAATATGTACAGATTTCCTAAGCTAGTATCTTAACGGTTTGATACATTAGTTGTTCTGGCTGCATTTGCTAACTGTAGTAACACACACTTTAACTCGGGATCCAAACCAAATGTTCTTGCCTCACAATTCCCATAGGTTTTTGACAATCTTGTGAATTTCTTTAATGTTTGGGCTCACGAATGAGTTCAATGAACAGCTGGCTCCTGTGGAATTGAACCCCAGCATGAGTCAGTGGTACCCACACAATTTAATAATTCTTTCATTGATATGGCATCTTTTCATGTTGTCAATGTCTCGAAGCACTCAAAAGGTATCAACTGCTTTAAGTGGGGAGTAAACCTGGTTTTGGGAAGGAAAATTGAAAACTATAACGGCAGCAGTGTAATACCATGTCTGTATTGTCAGAGATCTGAAACTGATACAGATAGACTGTCTCGCCCGATCAGCCGCTGCAGCTCTACAGCATCTTCCAGAAGACGCCTCCCAGCATTCTCACCACAGGTAATTGAAGGACGCCATCCAATTCATTCTTGAGTACTCACTGACAGGCTATTTGACTTGATTCACAAGAGAATTGGAAGGCACAGTTCTAAAACTTCAAAAGATTTGTGCATGACTAGACTTTTTGTTTAAGAAATGCCCAACCAGATTGGTTGATGCTGTTTAGTTTTCTGATTTATCTGCTTGAGAATATTGGGGGATATGGGAACACTGTGGACAAAAGAACAAAATGACAGTTATGTTGCCAGAGCAGGGAGGAGGGCAAATGACTAAAAAGGCCGATAGATGAACATTCTAATTTGCGTGGTTACTTCAAGGAGCATCTATATACTTTTTTCCCCGTGAGATAGGGGAACGAAGCCCAATTAGTGGTGGATTTTGGCTGTGTACGTAGATGGTTCCTTCCAAGTATGTAGTGTCTGCATATTTATTGAATCTGGGTAAAAGTTGGGGTTTAAAACCCAATTCATTATTGAGCAACTACAAAGCAGTATTGCACCTCAGTGGCAGTCAAGTTGAGGCAACTTGAAATGTAGCTCTACTAAAAAAAAAATTCTGTTCTAATATGTGGGTTACCTTGAACGTTACAATGGTGTATTTTAATTTTTTATTGTGTATTAATGCGTCTCTCCATATTTAGAAAAGGGGAGGTATGGCAGATCATATCCAAACAGATGGTCCACTCTATAGGCTTGTCCTTGCAGGAGATGCTGGTTCAGGGAAGTCTAGCTTTCTACAACGTCTCTGTATGAATGAGTTCAAAGGAGATATTCCTACAACATTGGGTAAGCATTTCCAATTGCACTTTGTCCTTTATTTTCAAAGTGATGTGCATGAGTAGTACGATTGACACATATTTGAATGGTGTGCCCTCCCCTTAACAATTTTACCCATTCTTTTTATTTCCTGGCATCTCACAGCTGAAGCTACAGGAAATGGAGCAATTGGTTCTTAAATTGGAAAATTATTTTCTCCAATGTAGTTTTCACTACTATGCTTTGAAAGAAAGCAGTATAGTAGAATTCTGCTCCACCTTCTATGGTGTGAAATTGACAGTCAAACTAAATTGAAATATTTGAAACTAGACTTGTATAAAACTGATTGTGCCCACATGAATAAATTGAAAACAATGGGTCTTGGAAAATATTATCTACAAGAATTACAGGCCCTATTCCATATAAGCAAACTATGAATAATTGGATATCATGCTAATAATAATCCTTGTGTTTAATATATTGCCTTATCACATCTTTGTGATGTCTAAAAGTGCTATACAGTCAATTCATTTACAGTGTATTCTGTGAAGCGCTTTGAGGCGCCTTGAAGACTTGATAAGGTGCTGTATCAAATGCAAGTATTATTAATTGAAATGGTTAAGTGTTACAGTGATGGGTAGAAGTAGCACAAAGGCATCCTTTCTGTGTTAAAGTTTAACCATTATACAATCTCTCTGGTCTAGGAGTGGATTTTCAAGTCAAAAAACTGTTAGTTGATGGTGAAGTTACCACATTACAGATATGGGACACAGCTGGTCAGGAGAGGTAAGGGTGACTGTTTATGTCCATTTTTGTAAGCACATCCAACCTGTCAAAATGTAGTGTGTGTATATCAAACATTACTTTTTATGTCAATGATTCAAAAGATTTTAATTTTATTTACTAATTTGTGTGAAATTAATGTGCTTCATGGAACAAAGTATAAAATATTCTCAAAGGAATCACAGTAGTTTACGAAAACAGTATACTTGTGGATGTAAAGTTGAAGGCAGTCGAATTTAGGATTTTTTTCGAACACTTATTTTTCTCCTAAACCCTCTGCCCACTGCACAGCTGTAATTATAGATTGCCACTTCCAGTTTAATGCTGCTGTAATGTAATAGAAATCCATTTCTAAAGTAAATCTGTTTTCAGCATTAAATGTACTTTCATTCTCCTAGGTTTTATCCCATGAACAAATTGCACATTAAAATACTCTAAATGGGAAAATTACCATTGAATAATTCCTTAGTTCTGTGTACATAAGAATTGGTGCTTCATTTGGTTTGGTATGGAGTTGAATCCTAATTCTACTTGTGTATTCAAGTATTGCAGTGGAGTCCTGTAGCTCAGTGGTTAGAGCACTCGCCTTGCAAGCGAGAGACCTGGGTTCGATTCCTGGCAAAGCAAAACCTTGGGCAAGTTTCCTTCCTCTGCATGCCTGATGATAATCCCTCAAGGAAATAAATAAAACAATAATTTAATCACTCAATCCACAACCGTTTGTGGAACACTGCAGTGCACAATTGGCTGTTGCGTTTCACCCACATATATACAATTCACTTTACAGTTTTTCTGTGAAGCACTTAAAGACATCTAGAAGACTTGAAAAGCGCTATATCAAATGCAAGGATTATTATTGCATTGTGGGAAGTAGAGTAAGATTGGGATGTCAGGATGAATGCATTTCATATAGACTATTCAGGTTAAATTCAACTTCTTTTCCCCAGGTTTCGCAGCATTGCTAAATCTTATTTCCGAAAAGCTAATGGTGTATTATTACTATATGACGTGACTTCACAGAATAGTTTCCTGAATGTCCGGGAGTGGATTGACGAAGTTAAGGTAAGTTCATCTTGTAACCTAAAAAATTCTCGGCATTGTCAAATGGTTCATGCTTCAAAACAAATACAAACAACTTAAGCTAATTTTTTGACCAACTGCAATGTTTTTAAAATTTTCAATACGCACTTGCCCTTCTATTTTTTTTAAACGTTGGAAGACAAAACAAAATGTGTGCATTAGTATTAAAAATGCCCAAATTGGTCCAAACGTGATCTTTAGTTTCTGGGCATGTTGCTTGATTTTAAGTTTTTACTACGAATAGTTGATAGTCTGTGGTACTAAAATGTGTAAGAATTCCTTATTGATTTCTAATCATTTACTTGAAACTTATGATACATTTTCAGAATGCTACTGATACACCGGTACCAATCATTTTAATTGGGAATAAAACAGACTTGAGAAATGAAATGCCTAAAACAAAGTCCGATAGTGTATTCCCAGCTCATGGAGAAAAGCTCGCTATGGTAAGATTTGTTTTTTTTCTCCAAGGAAACGTTATATTGTAGAGGTCCTATTTAAATTGGTGATATTTTCACAATAGCACTTAAATAAGTGTGTATATATAATATATGGAATCTATAACTTACAAGCCAAATCGACCAATTTCATTTTTCTCTAGGCCTACAATGCATTGTTTTGTGAAACAAGTGCTAAAGATGGGACCAATGTTGTGGAGGCTGTTCTGCATTTGGCCAGGTAAACACTATTAACTATCGCCCATGAGTTTGTTGGGAAAAAGTACTTGACCATTCAAGATAATTATGCAAGTTCTTAGCTAACTATTAATGTTGTTAGGTATTACAATTGCCATGCTCCTTCTCCAAACTTGGCTATATCCAAATGCACTTATCTGGATGCAAATACATTGCATTTCAAATTATATAATGGTTATATTTGAATGGAATCTGAATCTATTTGGAGGCGAGATGTTTTCTAAGATGTAAATCCAGGTCTTAATACCCAAGTGGAATTAACTTATTCTCATTTCAACAGAAATAAAGCTTGGATACCTATAGTTTTAAGTTTCAAAATCTGTTCTGCTTACCATTGCTAGTATTCAATAAAGGCAGAACAATTTTTCAATGCAATTCATTCCAATGAAGAAGTGATAATTTCTAAGCCCTATTTATGCAGCGTTTTTTTTTCTTACAGAGAAGCTAAAAAGAATGCAAAAGATAGAAATGATGCTGAATCTACAACCAAGCTACCACTGAACAAACCTGCAATAGCCTTGAACAATTGTTGCAAAACATAGAACGCTAATGGACTGAGTTCCATTCAAAACAACTTTTCACAAGATTTGTGATTTTTGAAATTAATCACAAATGCCTTTTTTTTTTACAAACTATTGCTCATGTGAGAGCAGCACTTGCATCACTATTTTTATTGCTGATATGTTTGGCAGATGAAACTTTATTTATCTGAGGTACTTTGCTTTAAATGTTTATGTGTATATATTTGAAATAAAACACTGATTTATTTACTTTGTCACTTTATTAAAGGGAACACCTTTCTTTCTTTAAGAAAAACTATGTAAACTAAAACACTATTAAAATGAAGGATTTTCAAGAATTCATGTATCTAACAGTAAGAGGTATTGTAGATTTAATTTGGAATTTAAATAAAGGTTGTGATAAACTATTGGAAGTTGAAATGCTCTTAAAGCATCAGTTAGTATATATCTAAATGCATATTAAAATCACTAATTTCTTGTAAAATGGTTAAAGAATGATTTATTCTTTTGGTTTGCTGATCATCCTGTAGTTTCTAAACAATGCAACTACATTAGAGCAACATAGTTTGGGTACTATACCTTCAAGAAGCAGCTTGGCTCAGCAACACTCTTCTGAGTTGGACGGTGGAGCGGTGAAGTGCTGCATTAAAACATGATCATAGTGCAGTCTGAAATTCCACTACAATATGGAGTTTCATGGTTGTGGCAACAGTGCAATCCAGATTGATACAAACTGATTTGGAAAGTAAAGATTTAAAATATAATCCCTTGTGGGATGTTCTCCTGCAGTTCTGGCCAATAATACTTCCACATAAAACGGTCTTACGTGGGACGTTGCTGTGTACAAATCAGAACTCGCATCTGTCTCTATTAATATAGACACTTAAATATGCAAGATTTGTTAGAAAAAAAGGACATTTGTTATTGGGATGATACTGGGAAATGTGCTCAGGGGAAAAAGGGGGTAGATTAGGAGAGATGGATGAATTTTATTTAGTTATTCAATACTTTACTTTCCTCAGGTGGTAGTAGAATATGGAACATTTTTTCACAACTTTCCTGATAAATGAACGTGTTCTTAAGAGTAGAAAACAGCCTTGCATGTATATAGTATCTACATATAATTCTGCAGAAATGGCTTTCATAGAATATTACAGCACAGAAGGAAGCCATTTGGCCCATTGTGCCTGTGTCAGTCAGCTCTTTGGAAGAGCTACTGACTTAGTCCCACTCCCCTGCTCTTTTCCTCATACCTTTTCCATACTTTACCTTGTATAAATTCTACAAGCCCTAATAGACTTTTAAATAGACAAAAGCATGTTAAAACAGTTATCAGATGTTATTTTGCTGCAACTGATTTTATAGGGCCTACATTTTTATGAATGAAATAATTGCTGGAAAAAGTGTTCAGTATGAATTTGTGGGGAAGGTATCCTTGTGGAAATTCTTATAGGATTCCTTGTAGCACACTTACAATGATTTTCACTCCTATAATGGACTTTCTTGCCACATACATATTGGTTCCCAGTTCCCTTTACTGGACTGGTTGAGGCAGTACATATAATAATCCTTGTATTTGATATATATTATATCTTTAAGATGTCTCAAAGCACTTTACAGAATACACTGTGAATTGACTGAATATTTTGTGGGAGAAACACAGCAGCCAATTGTACAAAGCAGTGTCCCATAAACAGTTGTGGACTGAGTGACCAAATTATTATTTTTAGGCATGACATGTATAACACATTATCTTTAAGACTTTCTCTTCCCAGGACAAAATAAATAGATTGCTTCCTTTTACTTTTCCATTGACAAAAGCCCTGAAATCACTTCTTATTCATTTCACTTTATTAATGCCATGGGATGTGAACGTGACGGAAAGTTTCAAAGCATTTAAAATAGAAATCAAAAATATTGCTAGTTGCAGAAAGAGCAATTGAGGATAGTTTAGGAATAAGAGAATGACAGATTGTGAATAGCAGGCTATCTGCCTGGAGGATATTATGGCCCAGCTAATCCCATCCTTAACTAACAGTCTAATGGATCTGACCAAGAGAACCCTGTGTAATCTTCCCTCCTTAAGGAAGGTGTTTTTTCAAAATTATGAACTGAATCTCTCCTTCAGATGTACGATGAGGCATTGTGAATCCAAGTTACCCTCGAACAAATTCCAAATTGTTACAACAAAGCAGGACAATTGGTATAAATAAACCTACACTAGTTATATGCAATTACCTAAATATGCAAGGGAATGAAGAATACACATATGTACATCAACATTGGTTTCAAAAGACTAATAGCCAATAGGGGCAAATCATAGTGTTATTAAACATCTACTGAAGATAACCTCCTCCACATCAAAGCTTCTTATTCAGTGAGCTGTGTGTATGATGCAAAAAATTGCAACATGCCTTCCCTCCCAATTTCTTTTTTTAAAAAGCCATCATCAATTGGTAGATCTGATTTTTGTTAGAACCTGAACAATGTATATGCATTCATGTCATGCTCAACTCGCCAAACTGGCCTTTGGATACACTAAAACACAAACAAGTGCATAAGAGAAACATTTTAAACTGGTCTATTTATAATTCCAATCACTCTTTACAAGCATCTTAACAAAAAAAGTGACAAATCTATATAGGCATTCACAGAAACACCTACATCAACCAAAAGGCTGTCTTTATTAAATAGAATTGAAAGGATTAGCTTTGATACAAAAATACAAGGCTGGGTCACGTAAAATCCAAAAGAAGCATTTTTGCTTACAATACTTCCAGTGACTTATGCTCATGCAGGAAGTGTACCTTTACAGCAAGATTTAATACTGCATCAGTAAACATTCTGCAAGGCATTGGTTGAGCCTACACACTGTATAATCCCACAGGAAAGATACAAGAATGCAATTTTCTGAAGTATTGAAACCATAGGTTTGAATACGTTCAATAGTTGCAGACAGAAAGCTGAAGTTCGTTACAAGTACTCGTCTTCGTAAAACCTGGGGAGACAGCCAGGTACAAGTAAAGTCTCCAGGGTTACTTTGAAGCCCCCTGACCCCCTTCACCACCTTTTGGAGCAGATTGGCCTTCCTTAGCCGCCGCTTGCTGCTTTTGTTGCATTATTTCAGCATCCCTGCAAAAATACAAACTTCCCATAAGCTTCCCATCACAACTTATTTTTACCGACATTTTATTCATTTTATTCACAACAATCATACAGATAACTTTTTTTTGTAAGAAAGCAAATACTATTTTAAAATGGTGCAAGCAATGTGAAATTGTCCTCAAAGCAGAAAGCTATAAACATACAAAATCATTTTCATGCACAGAGCCTTTGGAATTGACACATTCCTCAGCTCAGTCTCCGGAAAGGTGAGTGGAATTAATTTTATATTAATTTGTATTGAACAAACATTTCAAAGGCTACTGTTAAAAACAATTCAATCCCTGTAACTAAGATAACTGATTATTCATGAATGATTAAGTAGGGGTTAATTGATGAGTAAATTTGGGATTCATTTGGCAGATTTTGTGCCACAGAATTAACAAAGTGAAGCTTTGATCATCTACAATTTTAATAATCCAAGGGGGTTCCCAGCATTTGGCAAACAATTAAGGTTCACGGTGCACAAATTAAATCAAACAGAATATGATATCACATTAGCTTCCTTAACTTAATGATATAAAAACAGTATCTGCTACAAGGACACCAGTGAAACACTCAATTAACTATTTCTACTGCTATAAAATTCCATTTGTTCACAAGGCCAACACTAGTACTTCAGTTGCTCATTTCTGTCAGGCTCTCAAGAAATGCTACAGGCAGAACAATTCTAGGGTTGTAGGTAAAGATGATGAGCACAAAGTGGTACCTCAGGAGAAGTTACATGAGTTCAGCTGCAAACAATTTATTCTTGACTAGTTGCTTTACTTACATGGTTTACCGATTCAGCAGATGCTGTACATACAATTTATGCAGTTTACCTCTGCTTTCTGGCTGCAGCAGACAGACCATCAGTTCTTCTCCCTTTAGTCTGGTCAGTGCTTTTTTTTGCATTTTTCTGACGAGCAAGTTCTCGCTGATTGCCACCTAAAAAAAAGTGACGGTCAGTTTGATAGTTATAAGCAGAGACAAGATGATTCAAAACCAGGCAATTCTATTTTAAAGAAATAAATCCCAAACTGACCATAACGGTTTTACTATGACTCATTCAACACAATCCCTCTGCTAAAAGCACTTCATTTAATAAAAGTTGTTTCCACCGATTCAGTCATATAAACAAGCAAACTGTCCGCTTGTAGTGGACAATCTGGTTTGGAGGCAGGTGTCCTGTTCATTGTAACAATAGTAATCTTTGCATTTGATATAACACCTTATCACGTCTTTGAGACGTTTTCAAAAGTGCTTCACAGAATCTACTGTATATTTTGTGGGTGAAACAGTATCTGGGCACCTGCTTGATTGAGTCAAAACACTGGGAAGAAAACCAAAAATGTGACTTTTGGCACTGACTTATCCAATGTATTTAGCGAGAGGCACAAAATCTGGCCAGGCACAAATGCACTTTTTAAAAAATAATTGCCTTCCTTGTGAAATGAAATTTATACACAATTCCATATCCTGCTACTCAGCAACCAAATGCTGTATGTACCTTAGTTTTATTTCAGTTATCCTGAAATGCAACTTGGGATATGCCTGGCTACTATTTTTATTTTGCACTTGCACAGCTATATATATAGCGCTTTAGATAATCCACAGTGCTTTTAAGCGTAGTAGATTCACGTGGAATACTGAAGCTGTATAATGACTGCCCGCAGTAGTACCACGTGCAGGTTCTCCGCAGAATCTCAATGAAGCACTATCTACCTACCCTGTGTGTAAACAAAATCAAGTGTCAAAGACGGTGGTGGTGGTGGTGTGGTGGGTGGGGGGGGGGGGGAGCCATGAGGTCGTATAAACTTTGCTGGACACCCCAAATACCCTAAGTCTGCTTTGCTGTCATTTGCCAGTAACCTACTAACCAAGGCAAATTCAAACAAAAAAAACCTTTTTTAAAAAAAATCCAAACTGACTTTTTAAATTAAGAAAAACTTTATTGCTGGAACTAAACAGATTTTTTTTTAACGAGTGTGTGTGTGTGTGGGGGGGGGGAAGGGGTGTTCAATCTGAGCTGTGGACGACAGACAATAAATCCATAACCTTAGGTTGAGCCTAATAATAATCCCTCCAAAACCAAAAACAATAATAAATTGGTCATTTTCAATCCATGACTGTTTGTGGGACATTGCTGTGCGCAATTGGCTGCCGCGTTCGCCCACAAATATACAGTCAATTCACTTTACAGTGTGTTCTGTGAAGCGCTTTGGGACGTCCTCCCGACGTGAAAAGCGCTATATCAAATGCAAGGATTATTATTATTATTATTATTATTATTGTTGGTTGCTGTGACGTGTGATGTTGATATTGCACAAGAATGCGGAGGGCGACAGGGACGTTAAAACAAAAGCTGCTGGAGATCAAACCCACCCACAAAAATATACATCATATAATAATTGCATCTAAAAAAAAATCACAGCCTACGCGTCCGGCCCCACTTTCTTCTCCTTTTCCTCCTCGAAAAAAATAAAACGTTTTAATTTTCGTTCACTTGGTATATATTTTTTAAAAAAGTCTTAAAATGCCTTTATATATAAATATATATGTGTGTGTATTTAGTAAAAATTACAATTGTACATACAATGTACATAATTACAAATATGTAAAACAAAATCATGTATAAAATCTACGTAAAACTCCTTATATAAAAGATTTTATTCCCTCCCTCTCTCCCCCACCCCCCACCGATTTGTTTTTTTTTTAAAAATAAACCCCACAAACACACAAAAAATCTGCTTTTTTTTTAAAAATAAAAAGCTCTAAAAAAAAAGCTCTAAATGACAAAGAGGAAAGAAACCGTTCACACACACACACAAAAAAAAAGAGGAGAGAAAAAAAATGACGGGTCCAACGTTTTGGGGATTTTTTTTTTTGCGCGTCGTCGTCGTCGTCGTAATAAAATAAAAAAATAAAAACAACAATAACCATATATATATATAAATAAAAATAAAAAAAACATTATTTTTAAACCCACTCCCCCCCCCCCCAAAAAAAAAATCATGTGTCAGAAAAAATCTTCGGTGACCCGAGTGAGGACCCGAGGCGCCACGTCGGCCTGGAACGGACAGAGAGAGACCCAGACACAGACCCAGACACACACCCACCCACACACCCACCCACACAGAGACACAGACCACCCCCTCCTGCACCCACGCCACAGCCGGAGGGGGGGGGGGGGGGAGGGGCGAGCGAGGCCCTCGGGGAGGCCCGAAGCCATGGCCGCCGCCGCCGCCGCCGCCATCTCTCCCCTCCCCTCCCGTTAGCCAGTGACGACTCCCCCTTCCCCCTCAGTCACAACACAGCGGCCTCCAACTCACGAGTCATCCTCCAGACGTCGCCGCCGTCGCCGCCGCCGCCACCAAGTCGTTAAAACACCGTCCACTCGGCTCCGGCAAACCGCCCCTCGCAGCGACCGACCGACCGATCAACTCACTGACTGACCGACCCACCGACCTACCTCAGCGCAACCTAACTTCCCTCCTCTCCCCCCCCCCCGCCCCTAACCACTAACCTCCAACTCTCATTGGTCCAGCCTCCGGCGCCGGCCTCGCTGTAGGGCCGCGGCGGGTGTCAGTCAAATGACGTCACAATTCCCACCGCCGCCGCTGCCGCCGCCCCTTCCTTCATCCACCTATCACGTTAGGTTGATCGGAAGGCAGTGAGGTGGGGTTGGGGTTGGGTTGGGTTGGGGGGTCTTGTTTGGTAGCCTTTCTGTATTTATGTTGATATGTTTTTTTTCCCCCCCATAAAATATACGGTCAAAATCACTTTACGGTGCATTCTGCGAAGTGCTTTGAGACATCTCGACAATGTGATATCAAATGTATGATTATTATTGTTGTTGTTGTTGTTGTTGTTATTGTTTACTCTCCCTTTGAAGGGATTCAGTCAGGAACACTTTTGGCCTCGAAAAGAGAAGCAACAATTATTATAGGGCCCTCGGTTAACCCTGCGAGATAAACCGTAAACGGGTTTGGATGGTCCAAGCTGGACAATCAGCAGGAAAGCTTGCCGGACAGTGCCCACCATGACAAGCCCCTCTATGCTGTTTTAAGCCGTCTGAGGCGCAAACCTGCGTGGAGGGCGCTAAACAAGTCCCAAGTTGTTTTAGCTGGTTAGACCCCAGCACATACTTTGGGGACCCCAAGCTTTGGCTCTTGCCAACCCGCACTTTATACTTCCTGGAATTAGACAAGCAGGATGTGTCCCTCCGGGGAGAGAGGACACATTCCGTCCCAACACGTTACCCTGGAATTTCCATGTATAGGCGGGATGCATGGAATTCTATTTGGTTTGGTTACTCAAACGTGGTGATGGGTTTCCGCACTGTGTCAGACCAAAAAAAAAAGCAAGATAACGTCTCCGAGTGCTCTGCAAAGATTGATTTTACAGCACTTCATCCAGAACCTGAACCGGTGGGATGTTTGAAGGATGATATTTCCATTGAACAGGAATATCACTGGAATAAAATACTTGGATGTTTGTACCCACGTTTATGATGGTTGTAAACTAAAATAGGTGTAGCCAACTTGCCTTTCTCCATCGGAATTGTTATTTCCTTTGTGACCATAATGATGAGGTGATGATAAGAGTGCATTGGCGTGGGTATACCTTTATCACCTCAAGGCTGGACTATGGGAACTCTCTCCTCGCCGGCCTTCCCGGCACCTCCCTCCACAAGCTGCAGGTCATTCAGAACTCTGCAGCTCGTGTACTGTCCCGCACCAGGCTTCACGACCACATCACTCCCACCCTCGCTCGCCTCCACTGGCTTCCCATCCCCCAGAGGATCGAATTCAAGATCCTCATCCTCACCTCCAAGGCCATTCACGGCCTCGCTCCCTCCTACCTCTCCGACCTACTAACCCCTACTTACCTGCCCGTACCCTCCGTTCCTCTGGCTCCGGTCTGCTCCACATCCCCCGCCCCAACCGCCCTACCATCGGTGGCCGGGCCTTCAGCCTCTCAGCCCCGAGGCTCTGGAACTCCATCCCCCAGTGCCTTCGCCGCTTCCTCCCTTTCCTCCTTCAAGGCCGGTCTCAAGACCTTTCTCTTTGACCGTGCCTTCAGCTCCCCTCTCGACTCTCTACCCCCTCGTCGCTCCCTCCCTTCCCTCCCCTCACCCTGACCATTTCCCCCCTCCTCTCTCCCTCCCTTCCCTCCCCTCACCCTGACCATTTCCCCCCTCCTCTCTCCCTCCCTTCCCTCCCCTCACCCTGACCATTTCCCCCTTGCTCGGGTCCTGACCCAACTGTACAGCGCCTTGGGACATCCTCCCGACCTGAAAGGCGCTCTATAAATGAAATCTTCTTGTTGTTGTTGTAAGGATACTTTCCAGTCGCTCCTAATTTATTGTTGAAGAAAAGCATTAAATGGACATATTTGTTTGCCCGCATAGGAAAAGTTGTTCACTAACATTTATTCATTAAAGCGTTATATCAAGTGCAAGGATGATCAATGAGGAACTTTTTTTTATTATATTGGGTTTAGGTTAACAATTCCAACCGTATCATTTTTATCCTAAATTCTACGAGGAGACACCTACGAGGCTAAGTTGACGGGTTGCCTACTCCCGAATCACCAATAGCCCGTTAGTATTCATGGAGAGAGCAAACGGCTAATTCTCTAAGCGCCGTCTCCTTTTACGTGCGGCAATCCTTCCCGTTCACTTTCACCGCAGTCATCAACACAGTGTTCGGACCAACTGTTGACAATAAAGATTATGTTCCAACAGGCAAGCAACCGCCTGCCGCTTCGGTGAGCACTCGCAGTTCCAAGATTGGAACCATTAGCCGCACCGCCCACCGAGCGCTCGCTTTGCAAGTGAGAGACCCGAGTTCAATTCCCGGCAGGTCAGGGCGAAACCTCGGGCAAGTTTCCTTACTCCACACACCCAATAATAATCCCTCCGAAACCCAAACCGATAATAAATCGGTCATTTTCAATCTACGACTGTTTGTGGGACACTGCTGTGCGCAATTGGCTGCCGCGTTCGTCCACAAATATACAGTCAATTCACTTTGCAGTGTGTTCTGTGAAGCGCTTTGGGACGTCCTCCCGACGTGAAAAGCGCTATATCAAATGCAAGGATTATTATTATTATTATTATTAGCTGTGCTCTTTACTTAAACCAATATCTTACAATTTCCTATCCAACCCTGGTATCAGGTGTTACCGGTGTGCGGAGCTGGGGCTAAATTTTTAAAAAAAGGAGAAAGTGCACTACCAACAGCTAAAACAATAGGTGGATAATCATTCGGGGAGGACCGGTTCGCGAGGGTCCGGGGCTGCACGATTCTGATCGATGCTCGTGTGGTTCCTGGCCCGCGGGCCTCATCCGGGTTTTTTTTTTAAACCCGACGTCACTATGGGCGGGGCGGGGCGGCTCGCGGCGCAGCGCGACGGACCTGCGAGAGACCAGGCCAGGCCGGATAAGGTGGTGACGCGGACCTGGGAGGAACGACGCCCGCCCGACGCCCCGCCCCCCCCCCACCCCACCCCTCCGCCGGCAAAGCGAAAAGCGGACCGGGTAGAAGCAACCGCTGGCCTTTCGAAACGCCGTAGTTTACCGCACGTCACTGTGGGCGGAGCGGCTCCGAGCGCGCATGCGCGCTGCAGGTGGGGATTGGGTTTGGACCCGAGTGTCTCCTCTGTGTGTGTGTGTGGGGGGGGTCTGTGTGTGTGTGGGGGGGGTCTGTGTGTGTGGGGGGGGTCTGTGTGTGGGGGTGTGTGTGTGAGTGAGTCTGTGTGTGTGTAGGGGGGGGTCTGTGTGTGTGTGTGTGAGTGAGTCTGTGTGTGTGGGGGGTCTGTGTGTGTGTGGGGGGGGTCTGTGTGGTGAGTGAGTCTGTGTGTCTGTGTGGGGGGGGGATCTGTGTGTGTGTGTGAGAGGGGGTCTGTGTGTGTGTGTGTGGGGGGGGGGTCTGTGTGTGTGTGGGGGGGGGGGGGGTCTGTGTGTGTGTGTGTGTGTGGGGGGGGGTCTGTGTGTGTGTGTGTGTGGGGGGGGGGGGTCTGTGTGTGTGTGTGGGGGGGGGGGTCTGTGTGTGTGTGTGGGGGGGGGTTCTGTGTGTGTGTGGGGGGGGGGGGTCTGTGTGTGTGTGTGTGTGTGGGGGGGGGTCTGTGTGTGTGTGTGTGGGGGGGGGGGGGGGGGGGGGGGGGGGGGGGGGGTCTGTGTGTGTGTGGGGGGGGGGGTCTGTGTGTGTGTGTGTGGGGGGGGTCTGTGTGTGTGTGTGTGGGGGGGGGGTCTGTGTGTGTGTGTGTGGGGGGGTCTGTGTGTGTGGGGGGGGGTCTGTGTGTGTGTGTGTATGTGAGTGAGTCTGTGTGTGTGTGTGTGGGGGGGGTCTGTGTGTGTGTGGGGGGGGTCTGTGTGTGTGTGTGTGTGAGTGAGTCTGTGTGTGTGTGTGTGTGAGGGGGTCTGTGTGCGGAGTACTTCAAAGTAATTTTGTATAAAAAACAGTCAGGATTGGCCTCTGTGAAATAAAGGAACTGCTCAAAAGCTTCTAATAAATCCCTAATGGAGTCGCTTCTCATTGAGGCTTTAACTTTGTATGTTAAACTTTGATATTTTAAAGTGTGATGTTTCTGAGCCTCTAACTGTAGGACCTTTGCATATCATTTCAACAGTCAAGAGAATATGCACATTAATACTTCCATGACAATACTTTCCAGAATTGGGTACGTTGCTACATTATTGTCTGTGGACCTCGAGGAAACTGAAATTAGTTTCGTGCTGCCATAACAACGGTAGTCACCACACTGCCAACAGCCACCACCGCAGCTCCAAAAAGCCATTTCCATGGAATATCCTGAAAAGACAACATATATGAACATTTTTAACAAATATACCCAATGTTAGATTCCTTTTGGTACTATATAATAATAATAATCCTTGCATTTGACATACGACTTCGAGGTGTCTCGAAGCGCTTCACAGAATCTACTGTAAAGGGAATTGACTTATGTTTTGTACAGAATACAACGACATTCATACCCATCCTGATTTCCGTGGAGAGGAAAGAAATGGTACAAGGTTCTTCCTAAGTGCCTGCCACACTTTGCGTTTGGGTTTAGAGATGTCTAGTTGCCCGGTCTGCTTCCTGACTAGATTGGAGAGTTCCACATGAATGGCCTGGAAATCAGCAAGAAAGCAGACTCCATCAGTAAGGTTTCAAAAATATTTCAGCCACACAACAGCTCGCATTGTAATTGCTCAAACAAAATGACCACTTCTTCAAGATAATTAGAAAAACAGATGCAAAGTAATAATGTTCCTGATATTTCTTGTACTTTGTCTTCTGTTGCTGTTATTTTGCTCTCCTGTTCGTAGAGGCTATTGTGCCACAGTTCATTTCGATCATTTTGCCTTTACTCTTTGTTTCCAAAAAAAAATCTCAAAAGTGAAGCCCCACCATAAAACCAGAGACATTTGCAACACAGAAGAAGACTGTTTGACCCATCAAGTCTGTGTTGGGTCTTTGAATACCATCCTTGGCTTTTTAATAATAATAATAATCCTTGCATTGGATACAGAGCCTTATTGCATCTTTATACATGTCCTTGTGTATAAACTATACTGTAACCTCTACTATTGTACTCTCCTATCACAGAATCTGCCTGTTAAACTCTAGCTCAAAACAAAAGACCTCTCTAACTTGTTGGATAATCATGATTCTCACGGTATTAAACTGCTGCTCCTCAGATTACACCTGACAAAATCTGATTTGCCTTTTTACAGCCTGCTGCATAATAATAATAATCCTTGCATTTGAAATAGCGCTTTTCACGACTTCTAGACGTCTCAAAGCGCTTCACAGAATACACTGTAGAGTGAATTGACTGTACATTTGTGGGTGAAATGCAGCAGCTAATTGCGCACAGCAGTGGATTGAGTGACCAAATGATTAGTTTTTTTTAAGGATTATTATCCCCGCATGACTATTCCATTTAATAATAGCCCTACGGAATGCAGGAAAGACATGCATCATCTTCCTCCCACAGGCCAGACACACGCCCCAACCCATTTGAGCGATGGTGCCACCAATCGGAATTGCAGAGCTTCTGCAGTAATTGCTTAGCTCTCTGCCAAACAGCAGCTCTGCTTCAAACATACTCTGGCAGTGGGGGGGGGGGGGGGGACCTTTAAACTCTGTGGTTACATGTGTAAGGTGAAATGCAAAAACGTCCAGCAGAGGGCAGCCCTGAACCAATAATTGTGGGGTTGGGTGTGTTGTATGATAATTGACCTTGAGTAGCATATAAGAAGGAAAACACTTAACACTCACTAAAATATTTCTTCTAGATTCTAGTAGATCCAAGGTGAATACCTAGACGATGGGCATTTTTGTAAAATATTAAATACCCTCCGGCCGTTGTTTTTTTTTTGTCTCCTGCAGACACCAGCACATCACATATTGAAGGAGAATGAAAGGCAATCTGCTCACAGGCTGCTGCCAATATTGCTGGATGGCTGCCCACTAAAATCTCCACGTCAAAACGGTATAGAATAAGCTCCATTTCAAATCAATGTCGTGTCAACTTAGTTTTTCATCTGTTTCAGTGCAATCCAAGGCCAAGTGACATGGACAGGCTTCATTGAACGTACAGAACTTGGGAAAGATACCTATTGAAGTGCTAATAGTTATGACAAAAAGACATTTACAATTCTGAATGAAACTAAAGGTTAACTAACAAGGAAGGGCAGTATTAGATTAGTAAATTATTAATCTTATTCCAGCCAAGCTTGTGAATCAAGAGAATGATGATACCTGTCAATAACAGGCTGTTGAATACAGAAATATTAAAGAACTCTTGTGGGTATTTTAAATGGTAGTTTACGATATACATTATTTATTTAGCACAATAGATCATAAAGCATTGAATGTGTAGACAGCTCATACGATGACTGGTGGTATATGCTAATTATAATAAATGAATCTGTCAGGAAGGAGACTGTTAAGTCTAAAGTGTAGAAAAGTTTGTAAAACATCAAAGTAAGCATCCAGCATCAAAAAGAATCAATTTGGGTGAGTGTTATCGTGTTTTGGTATATATATATATAACTCCTTCCTGAGTTCAATCTCTGAGGAGCACATCCTGATCACTCCTCACAGGCTCAGTCTCTTATCACCCGAGAGCCAAACTTCTGCTGGAGCGCAAGCAGTCAGTGATCTATGTGTCAGATGTAAACTCCACACAAAGCTATTAGAGGGTGAAAAGCTGAAGGGAAAAGCAAAGTGCTTTTAAACATATGTTTTTAGAAGGACTTTACATTCTGATGATTGCAAACTGGTTAAAATGACAACATGAACATGACAACATGCTGTTTGGATCATGTAGAAATTACCAGGCTTGGGAGGTCTGTAATGTCCTATGTTTATAAGAGGAGAAGATCGAACTCCCCACAATTGTAATGCAGTAAAACAGAGTTTAGAGTTAGAACTTTATGTAAAAAATGTTTTGATTCAACTAATGTCTGTGGTTTGAGGAATTTCTGCTTTTGAAACATATATTTGCAGAAGCTATATGAGCGAGAATGGGGTCACAAGTACGCTCAACCAGCTCATGATTCATTCTGCAATGTTTTTTTTGTTTCACCTGTGAAGAGCAACCAACCATAATAGTCAAATCGCTTCAATATTTATTCAAGATTTCATAGATTCGGTTCAGTGCAGAACAATGAACCATCAGCAATCAGACTAAAAGGAGCCCTGATGTTATTAAAACCTGTTTGTACAAATACATCCTTTCAATACCTGCTCAGTTTTTGTTTGTATTGGAACTGTACCCTGAAATATAATGTGAGTCAGTCTCCTTGAAGCCACACATTGCATTTCCTATACACACAGGTAAAAGTAAAATTGAAGCTATTTTTATTACCTTCATGCTTGGCTCGATCTTCAATGCTTTTTTGAGTGTTTCCATAGCTTCTTCGTAGTTTTCTTTTTCTGATAGCAACTGCAGCAGGATTGAAAACAGAATGAATAACTCTGTAACATATGGGGAGGCCAAAAAAAACAATATTTTCCCTTTTTTGGAAGCGACTGGGAGTATTTGAAGCCACACTTATGCACGACACATGGCTAATTAGAAATTGAGTGAGCTGGGGGCTTTTCCAGCTAGCTTCAGTTTTTACTTGTATCCAGGTGAATGTTTCAGTATCCAGGAGCCAGGTCAAAATGTGAAGGGATTTGCCGAAGCCATTTCCAATTTTATACTGTTATAATACTATAATAATAAACCTTGCATTTGATACAATGCCTTTTACGTCAGGAGCACATTGCAAAACACTTCACAGAATATAATGTGAAGAGTATTTTGTAAGCGAACTAGGCGATCAATTTGTGACAGATGTGATCCGTAAACAACCAATGAAATAAAGGACCAATTTTATGATCGGCTATGGCTTAGAAAGGTGGTTTTGCTACAGGAGACTTCAAGTCACAGTTAGCACCTCACGAAGATACGTATATTCTTGGACGAGTTCACTTTCAAACACTGGCTTCAGGAAGCACTGAAATTGGGTTCTTTCACATCATGAGGACATCGGGTACAAATTATTGCAATTATATTTTCCAACAAGGATGATATCATATCATTTGTTTATCAGTGCTCCAAAGCCCTTTCCAACAGGAGAGGTTAGCCATACTCTTTTTTTTAATCTTAAATAGTTGTAAACGCACATCTGTAAATTATTAAAGGGCCATAAACGGAGTGAGCTTGGAACCATAAGGGCATCTGTTTCTGATTAGCAACAAAGAAAAGTAACTCATCAAAAAACGGGATCAATTTGTCAAATAGTAGCATAAGTCGGAGATAAGGAACCAAAATTAAAGGATAACCAGTTTCATGAACTGTACTTTGCCTCACAAACGTACGCCCTCTTTTACCCCAGTATCCCACCACTGATACGGTCCACATCACTGACAGTCCAGTGCCTTGGGACATCCTCCCGACCTAAATGTCATTTTGTATTGTATTTTAAACTGGTACTGAGATGCTGTTCACAGGCAGCAAATCTAAATGGCAACTGGTGCCCCAGGCAAGAGCCAGTCAGAACAGCTAATATGCAGGCTAATGTGCACTTTAGAGCACAGACCATGACCATCTGTCCTGTCTAATTATTGTGTTGACTCAGCAGTGTCGTGCAGCTTTTGGGAGAATGTATGTTTGAGATGTCAATCAGGATCTAATACCCTTTCATGTTCTTTTGGAGAGAGTTGCCTGGTTTGGAATAAATGTTCAATATTCAGGTGCGCCTTAGTATCTGGTTATTCATTCTGGGAAACGTAATATTTTACAATCTCAGAAACCCTGCAACAAGGTTTTTTTTATTAACTTGCTTTGTGTAAATGTTACCTTATCAGCCCAAACCTTAAGAGAATGATGCTTCAAGAATGTAAATTATGTAACAGGTTGGGAGAAAACAAAGTAAACAAAAAAAGTGTTTTTCAGAGGAAGACAGCCCTTCAGACCGTTTCACCTCGTGTTGCAAGAACAAAAGCTATCCAACCTTCCCATTACAGCACCAAGCTGTTTCCAGAAAAGGGTCCATTTTCCTGATCAATCTGGTAATGATTTGCAGATTTTGCTTATCCTGTGTACGACAAATACTTTGGGTAGGCCGACAAGCTGGGAGTTAGCGGGGTCGAGTCTAGATGTAATAAACGAACTCAAGCATAGCATTTAATGTTGCAACTTTTTAATTAGCATATTAATAACTTAAAGATAAGCACGCTTTCGGAAACATATTTCTTTTAGAGGTTATTGAGACAATTAATCAGGTTATTGATCGCCTCACCTTTCCCTTCCTGAATAAAGCTTTCACATTGTTTGGGTCCAGTGACAGCACAGCGTTACATGAAGTAATGACTTCTTCGTGCATCTCCAACTTCAGCTGCACAGCTGCCAAGTTGTTAAGACATTTCAGTCCATCTTCCCGCAGCTCCTCTGCTTCTTCAGCAGTGGGATTAACTGTAATTTGAAGCCAGCACAGACGTCAGCAAAGAAGCATGCCATTGGACATTTTTTTGCAAAACAACAACTTTCATTTATACAGGTTAACATCCTAGAGCCCTTGACAGTGGTGGAGCATGATCCCAAAGGTGCTGTAAAAGTATCAAAATAGTGAAGCACTGACACTGCCTTAAGATAAGCACTTCCGTACATAATTTTTGTCGTTAGATTCAAATCAAGAGAAAACAAAACTACTAGGGTTTTGACTCTGAAATGGCACATTTAACATTTTGCTCTAACAGATCGATGAATTGATGAATGAATTCACAGTCCAGTGCCAGATATTGGTCTTAGCTCATTTGCATTTACTGCAAATATTAAACAAACGTCCACAATCAGTCCGGAATAAGGCAGACTCCAGAAGAACAGTATAGATGACAGATACAGTACAAATACCTTGTGGAGCTTTTTGGGCTGATTTTGGCCATTGCAGCTGCAAACCCTGATGCTGTAGCTAAACCTGCTTAACTGTAACAATTCCTGAGTACTTGTGTGGTGTGTTCATGTTTGGTCCATAAAAAAATCATTAATAAATAATCCAAGGTTTGATTTTAGTTTACATTTCCAGTGCCAGTGTCATGTTTAATAATCTTGAGATCAATATCAAACATGTTGCACTGTTGCAAAATTATTGGAGCTGACTTGGAGCCAGACTTCTAGCATAATATTCTCTATGCATTTTGCAAAATGGTTTCGTCACTCCTCTTGTGACCAGCAGTTTGGTTTGTTTTCCAAAATGTTCTGCTTTATTTCAGATTTCCAGTAGTGTAAAATTTGCCATTCACTTGTAAGCCAGAAAACAGAGTGCAGGATCTAAGCAACGCATTGTTACCAAGCAAGTGGGCTGCTTTAACACACAATTACATGTCATATCACATCTGTCACTGGCAATGTTGCAACTATTTTACCTTAGGAATTATTGGCCAGGACACTGGGAGAAACTCCAATCTGTTTTTTAATAATGCCATGGGATCCTTTAATGGAACCTTGATTTAACATCTCATCCAAAGGACAGCACCTCCTTGAACCTACATTATTTTTGGATTCTAGCATTAAAAAACCCATGTGAAAATTCTAATTTACAATGTATCACAACTGTAAGTGATTATCTGAACCTGATGAGTTTAGAGTAAAGATCAGTGAAAATGTAGGGTGCAGAGAAGAGAACACTGTAGGTTGCTGTATTTTCCCACATACTTGGATTGTTTTGTAAATTTGTCTTACTTATATGAAGTGCATATCATTTGAAATATCTGTGTAGTCGAGGAATGGTTGTTAGGGACGATGCTGAAACCACATTGAAAGATCACAAAGTTGTTCAGTTTCGATTTTTTGGACGGAAAGGGAAAATACTGAGCATTGAGGAGCAGGACAAAATGGCCCTCTGTACATGTGTGCCTGGTATTCAATACACGTTTGCAAAGTAACATTTGTTTTGCTCATTTGTTGGTGGTGGTTTTCTGACCACAGTTTCCTGTCTATGACTGCAGCTGTGCCACCTGAGATAGGTGTTCTGTTTAAGAACACAGGCTGATTGCTCTTTGATAATGTTCAATTGCTGGAGGTCTGCAGTATGAGCTCACTTTCCCTGGTGGACGAGTAAGGGGAAAAGCATAGATTTTTCCTGATTAAGTTGGCAGAGTGATTTCTCCAGTGGTTCTCAACACTCTGGGCCTAATGATATCTGATCCTCGCCAGTATAAAGACTGATGTATGTTTATGTTTTCCCACAGTATAGGGAGAAGTGAACGACTGAAAAAGCCTCATACACCAAGATGGGGAATGGATCCAATTCGACAGAGCAGATGAATGTCTGAATTTTGTGGATTCCGTGACTGAAATTGAAACATTTAAAGAAAAGCAAACATTCAGCCTTAATTGAGAGCACCACTTAGCCAATTAGTGACGCATTGTGCGTAAATACAAACCTTTTTCTTTATATACTTCGAGAAAAGGATGGTGGACTTTTTAAACTTCAATAAAAGGTGAGAGCTGTGAAAGAGATTTGTGAAATTTAAGCTTTTCAGCCTATAAAGAAGGTGCAGGAATTAAGGGTGAACTTCATTGAGGCAAATAACAAACTTCTTGATACAGACTATTACTTCAAAGTAAATTAAAAAAAGTAAAAGCAGGGAATAGGAAGTGGAATTTGTGTGAAAGAAATTTCAACCCTAATGTCAGGAAAAAAGTGATAAGCAAGGTAGAGAAAAACATTTCGGGTTTATTCAAATACAGTTGGCACAATTGTGGTTAACATATTTTAGCAACAATATTTGCGAAAATCCCTTACGCAGCCCTTTGCATGTTAAGACTTGTCTGAATCTGCTGGGATTCAAAATTAATGCAAATTGTCACCAAACTGAACTCACTCATGAAAAGGTAAATTTTACTATAAAATGTGAAGCATGCAGCAACTATGTCACTATTTTGTAGGTAAACACAGCAGCCAATTTGCACATAGCAATGTCTCCCAAACAGCCATGAACTGAACGGCCAATTTTATTTGGGGGATTGTTGGCCAGGACACCGGGAAAAACTCTTTTCTTTTTAAATCGTGCCATGGGTTTTGAACCTGCACCTGAACAGACAGAAGATACCTTGGTTTAACATTTCATCCAATGTACATCTAACAATGCAACATCCCCAGCACTGCATTCGAGTGTCAGCATAGGCTAAAGGGCATCCTGCTGATACATTAATTCTCACAAGAGAGATACGGTTAAAGAAGGTCCTTTGGCCCAATTGATCTCTAAACTTTTTAGCGTACAGTGGCCGAGGAGCTATCAACAACATAAAGGGCATCCTGTTAGCTGAAGGATAATATGAGAATGGCAGCAGAAAGACGGTAGATGTGAGGATTATGAAGAAAGAATGATAAAATGAGATAGCACGATCATATGTGATAATTGCAGCCACAACAGTTAGTGAGAGGTCTGGTGAAATGTGAAGTTTCACCACCGGTTTATGCCTTACTTTCTGAGGAAATATTGAGGAGCTCCAGTGCCTGGTTGTATAATCTGACAGCATTGTGATAATCTTCTCTTTGGAAGTAATAATTTCCACGTTCCCGTTTCTGCTTGCATCTTCGAATGCGGTCGGGAGCTGAGAGTGTCGTAAGGTCAGGAGCATTTCTGACTTTCAGAAGCTGCACTTCATATACGACTGTGGCATCTGCCCGGATATCAGGAGCCCTAAAAGAGAAAAAATACCAATCCATTTATCAGTCCTGTTTCATGTGATTAGGTCCAACATTATTTGTTAACCTTATCAAATTTGTAGAGTTTGTACAGCCTGCAGATAATTAGACCTGAAACAAAAAAGCTAATGGAAGAGTTAGTCATTTCTCTGGAATACACACTGCATGAACCTTGGCATTTTCTGTTTTCAGATAATGCTTGTTCTGTAACAGCTATTAGCTATAAAAAGGTAATTATCTACTCGAAAAATATTTGTCTCTCTCATCATCTCTGCTTCTTTTGATCTGCTTGCTGTTACTTCTCACTATTTTCTGAGTATATCTACTTTCTTCCCAAATTCTCCATTGATTCTCCTGCTTTGTATTCCTTCGTAACCACTGATTCAAATTATGCTCACTCTATATTTCTTTCCCGCTATGCTTCCTTCCATACTGGATGAATGCATCACCATTATAGTGAACCATACACTATCCCCATTTCTGAAAAAATCAATTAAAATCCCAAACTACGCAGAAATACGCTATTGAATTGTTTTCTGATCTTTCACCATGTTTTGATTTGGATGCTCTATTTAACCTCACTGGAAATACTATGAGCCGAAAAGATTAACTGATAAAACATATTCAAGTTAAAGAAAAAAATCCCTTCACACATTGTTGCCCTCGGAATCTCAGTTTTCTTCTCTAGAAATGCTTCATAAGGATGTAAAGTGTAAATTGCAGGGGTTACAATAGTCTGGTGATCTATCTATTGCTGTCCATTCGCAATTACAATTATTGGAATTCCGTCTCCTCTGTACAATGACCTATTTTAGTAGTGTGTTAAAGGCGGATAAAGCAGCCTTTGTGACAATGCCTGGGTCACAAAATGTTCGGTGCAAATTAACAGTCTTATGTCTGATGCAGTTACTTAACTGCTTCATCAATTATTTTCCGTATTGAAAGGGTATGTTTTGCATTTATAGTTCATTGTTGAATAATAATCAGTCATTTGTCATTTTATCTGCTTCACAGCCCTATAAAGCATAGAATATAATTCATATGATTTTCCTAGGAAAGATTGCCAAAAAGTCTGGAAAAAAGCCGAAAATATTATTCTGAGAACACTGTTCTATTCATTGGACAAAGCACATTTTTCTTCCAATATTCTTCTCTGCTTTCCCAAAGTCACTGGCTCTTGCTCAATGGACACCAGCCATCCTCCATTTTGTCTGTGATCATTTATTATTAATTGAGCTTAGATTTGGGACACTGCTGTGCGCAATTGGCTGCCACGTTTCACCCACAAAACATACAGTCAATTCACTTTACAGTATTTTCCGTGAAGCGCTTTGAGACGTCTCGAAGATGTGAAAAGTTGCTATATCAAATGCAAAGATTATTATTATAGTGAGTATTGACATTCAATTTGATCATGTAGAGCATCATGGTCAAGCCCAGTGCTGACCTCACACAACAGGATTGGAGAAAAGTAAGTAGCAGAATTTTAGCTTTTCCCCTGCTTTCTTAGCCCAGCGATAATGAGGCATGTTGTATTGCCTCACTTGAAATCAACTCAACATAGGCCAAGGAATGAATTCAGGGTGTTCTTTGTCTTCATGGCTACATTGGCCACCATATGGTGCATTTATTTACTGTGAAATACTTGCTGCCACCATCCACTTTATCACACAATAGATGTATTTTTATTTTGCTGTAATGATGCCATGATTATTCAACATCATTTTGTATTGGGGACATGGAGTGCTGCAACAACTGCACTATTCATTATAACAGCTGCTATTAGCATCGAGACTGGCTAGTATCAGAGTAGAATTACCTTATAAATCGGTAGTGTTATGCATTAGTACAAAGGGTGTAAAATGAAGGTTAATTTCAGTGCAAGGTTCAGCTGATGGTTATACTGTAACCCATTCAAGCTTCACTCTAAAGGTTTACATTTATGTTTTGCATTATCCATTTGCCATTGCAACTTGCATTACATTGGCTGCCACGTTTTGCCCATAAAAATACAGTTAATTCACTTTACAGTATATTCTGGTAGCGCTTTGAGACATCTCAAAGCTGTAATGAGGCACTATATCAAATGCAAGGATTATTAGTATTATCCACCTATAATGTGTATTAAAAGGATTTTCACATGAAACTGAGTAAAGTTTGGAACTATTTATAATTGCGCAATCGTAAAGGAACACTTGGCCAGAATTTGCTGCAGTGGGTTAGAGAGAGTTGATAAATCAGAGGTGTCAATGTAGCTCATTCGGTAGTACTCTCAACCTCTGAGTCAGAAGGGCATGGGTCCAAACCTCATACCGGAGACTTTGAGCTGACACTCCAGGGGAGCATTGCATTGCTGGTTTTATAATACATAAAGCGTTATTTCCCAGTAATCCACAACAGATTAAATGTGGGTAATAGCAGTGACTATATCACAGACTTAATCTTTCATTGTTTGTGCTGTTCAGTGACGAATGAATAGTTGGCCATCTTACCTGCTGCAAAATTCTTTCAAATTTCTCAAAACAGATCAAATTTCATTTCTGTTTCCAAAGCGCTTTGTGAGATGTCTTCCCGATATAAAGGGCACTTTATCAAATGAAAAGAGTAATACACCTTCATAGCATGAAAAGTAATAGTGGATGTGAATGAATAGAATAGTGATATCTCAGGATACAAGTAACAATAAACCTTTTGAGGATTTTCATATGAATCCCATTTCCCTGCTGGTCGTTTAGATTAGGAAGATCGGAGACCTTGATAATTTCCTTACACAAAATTGGAAATTTTGAGTTGACCAAACATCTTTGGTCTCTTTGATGGTAATTCACTGCTGGAAAAAGCAGCCTTGGCTTTGCTATCAGTAACCATTACAGCCACATTAAATTCACTCAACAATCAGAAAGTATCCTCACTTAGCAGAGCAAAAATCAAGCCACCAATATTAAGCATAATCTTTTATGCTGAGTAAATGCCCAGTCGTACCATTCATGCAATCTGATGGAAGTTGATCCAAAGCAGCCACAAATTGACAGAGAACAAAACCATGAAAGCTCGCTCACTGTCTGTATCTGTTTTAGATTCTGTTTCAACTTCTGCTTCCTGTTCGATGAATGTTTAATTTGCCGAGTCTCTCAGCAAATGCAAGAGTAATAATGTAATTGTGACCGGGGGCAATCACCGTACTGCCTCTCGTCAGATGCTATCCAATCTAATATAAGTCACAATTCATCATTCTGCGTCTTTTGGAAAATGAGAAGCACTATCCTAGAGTGATCATCTGATGGTCCTCCACTGCATCTCCAAACCAAATAAACCAGTTTTAATGCTAGAAGTGCTAAAATCGCAAGTTCCTTGTTTGCTTTGCCTACAACAGTACACAGTCACTAACTACTGTGAATCCCTTGAAACACTTTTAGACATTTAGACGGCATTTTTCACAGTATCAAATGCATGGATTGCAAAGATTGCAAAGGTAAAATAGCTTATCAACTTGTAGCATTTTATGAAACATTCATATAAACATGCATGTGCTTGTTTCAAAAAGCACTACAAAATAACAAAGAGTTAATGGATAACATTTTGCACCTGTTCAGGACTTCATAATTTGAACTCATGCTAAATAAAGAACATTACAAATGGTTTAGCAGGGCAGTCTTAATGTTCTGGTTGCACAACGGTGATTCATAATAGAAATGTCAGAGTTCTGCAGAATCCACAGTTGTTGTTTGTAGTTATAGCAACAAGGATGCTACATGATGTAGAACTTGTACGCACTGAGATTCTTTTGACCTTCACCCTATTATTAATCTTTTGATAATACTCGAACCTGGAATTCCTTGTAATCCATATTGACCTAGTTTCCCTATACCATCCATTCCAGGCTTCCCTGAGGACTAGGTGGTCATTGAGGACAAGGTTTGTTAGTAGGTCCTCTTTCAGCCTTTTCACTAGGAACTCCAGAATATGCTGTATTTCATCCCGATCAAGGAGTTTATAAGTGCACATCTGTTTGTCCCATAATCAATACTGTTCAAGACACTTGAATAAAATACACACAAAGGAAGTTGGAAGGGTCAATCAGACAAACCAATGCTCCTGTCTGAAATTGTTATTATGCTTTACATTGCATTGATAAACATTCACTTCCTTTTGGGACCAAGAATAAAGCCACTGGAACTACAATATAACTCTGTTATAACACCTTGGTAAAATAGACTCAACTGCTTATGCTATAATATAGTTACATGCATGGAGGGATTGGTTTGCTGGATTAGACTGCAGACTGAGTCTTCTTTTCCCATCCTCCAATAAACATTGTAGGGTTTTCATCACAGAGAGGTAGAAAAGCCCATCAAAAACTATTTAACCTTTTTCAGAAGAAGCTTGTAATCCCCTATAAAATGCTGGTTCTTTTGCTCAGATATTTCGCCTGTGGAACGCAACCCCGTTAGGATTGAATAATGTAGACTGTGGTATGGACTGCTGGAGTTCTGTTTGATTCTCTGAGGGGGTTAGGAGGAGATTTTATTTGGAAGCATTTACCAGTGCTTCTACAGCTCCCTCAAGAGTTAAGTGGGATAGAGCCAGCCCTTATACATCTCCCTCAAGAGATAAGTTGAATAGAGCCTGATTTCTGTCTGGTTTGAATGGAAGCCATACATTCAATTGGCCAGGCAGCCTATTCTCATAGCACATTTTCCTATGAATAGAATTCTCAGAAAGTGGGAAATGAACTTTCCTATTTAGATCTTAAACAAGAATTGATTTAGTTTTAAGTGTGAAAGTAATGGAGCTATAGAGTATCTGGAACATGAGATTACGTTTGGGGAATATAAAGTTGTGCTATCTTCATTACAATCTTATGATCCAACAGGCTTCTTTGGACTACAGTCACAACACAGTCGAGCACTGGGCTACACTGGACCCTATTTACAAACCTTTGTGTACATTTCAGATATCTTTGTTTTTTTGTTCCCATACAAAAATATATCTGCT